GATAAAGTCACTTACCCAAGATATAACTAAGGACTGAGCCCCTGTGAGGGGGGCTGTATGAGAGCTTGGAAAAGAAACCTCATCAATGCTCTGAATCCAGGAAAAGGGGGGACTTGTTTATTCCTACAAAAAGAATATCGTTATGCTTAAACAAGTACTAGTGCTGTTTAGCATAAAAGGGGGGAATGATATAGGAAGCTTTGAAGAACCTTTGTTTAACCTTTATTTGCCCAGGCCCCAGGCATCTTGGGGAGAATGATGGGGCTGTCTGGGATAAATAAACAATGGTGCATTAGCTAGGACTGAAATTAACACCCCTGCTGTTAAAAAACTGACCTTTGAATTTAGCCTTTGTACTTTACTTTCACCACGCAGCTAGGACTAACTTCCGCATTTCTGCTTCTGTATCTTGCTTTACTACTCCGAAGGCTATATAAACCCCAAGAATCCTTTGTTCGGGGCTCAGAATTTGGAGACTGACTTTTTTAGGCCCGTGCACGTTAATAAAACCTCGTACTCCAGAAACCCTCGGTATCCGGTTGCTTAATTTTCCTGCAACATTACCAAAAGGAACCCATGGGGGGCCCAGATATTGTTATTGAAATGAGCCCCCTGCTCCGGGGTCTTACTGTACTAGGTCTTGCCTACTGCCAGGTAGGAACTATGGCTCTCAATGCCAGTTTGGTAAAAAAGAAAGGAACTGTTTATTCGAAAGTTATACAGGTTTAGAGTAATGGCGGAAAAATCACCCAAGTCCCTTTAAAACACCCACACCCACAAACAGTTCTTGCCTTCCCCCCTTTGCCCAACCAGGCCAGTCAGGGGTACTGCTGTGGGCCGGCCGCAGCGGGTCTAAGGGTCCCCTCGAGGTGAAGGTAGGAGTCGGCGCGGAAATCAGGCAACTACGCAGCTCAAGGCAGGTGATGCTCTGAAGACCTTTATTGAAAGTAAGGCTGAAGCTTTTATACTATTCTAGCTGGCAAGTGATTTCAGCTGGCAAGTGATTTCGGATTCGTTGGCTTTTGCAGTTACTGTTGCTATGCTTCTTGGTCTGAACAGGAACTTGGCTGTCTGCCTTGGTTAGGCTGTTGCAGGGGGCCTATTCTTATTCTGCGTTTTAGATATGTCTAAAATTGACTCCGGGGGGTAAACATGCCCTCCTGGTTGACTTGTGTACTTGTCTATGCCCTTCCTTATTTCCTCTTTTGTTAGGGGTTCTAATTCTTTTTTCTTTTAATGTTTGTTCTCTCTTCTCGGGCCAGTATGTAAGGTAACATGGCCCGGAAAAATATCTTATGAGGCTTTTTCTAACTTCTAGTTTTCTTTGTGCTGTCATGCATTTTTGTGGTGTGCTATCACTTCTTGCAAGTCTCTCTAAGAAGGGTAGGCTTCTTGCCGTTATATTTTTACTGTTTTTAGAAACCCATTTAACTCCGTCCTCATCCCAGACTCCATAATAAGGAAGTGTAGGTTTAGGTGGCGTTGGGACAGGCTGGAGACTTCGCTGTCCCTTAGAGGGATACCAAGGTCTGGCCTTAATAAAATAAGCAGGTCTCTATGGAGTTTTAATAGTAGGTGGGATTTTTCTCGGTGTTTTTGTAGGTTTTGGGAGAATCCTTTGTCTCATGGGGCTATCTTGTCGTAGTAGGGGGCTTTCAAGGGTGATTTTTTTTCTAACTTTTCTATTAATTCTCCAATACTCATATTCTGCTTCCTGATTTCTTCTGGTGTGTTACTATGGTTACTTTCTTTGTTCCAAGAACTCTAAATCATCTGGAGTCACATCACTCAATGTACTTTCTAAAGTATTATTACTTTGTTTAGTGAACAGAGTTGATGTACTTTCTGAAATATTATTACTTAGTTCAGTGAACAGGGAAAGACCTGCTTGTTCACAAGCATGACTATTTGGATCACAGCAGTGGTATTCAAAATAATCAGGGCGGAAGAGGTCAAAATCCCCAAAGCAAGAACAACCACAATGGGTATAGCAGGGCCCTCCATGCCACGTCCACCAGGTTGGAAAATGCTTCTTTGAAGTCTTGGACCCCCCCCTCCTGACTTTGTCAAGGAAGGGATCCAACTGTGGACGTGGCAGGGTACTGTATCTCAGGAAAAAGAAATAGAAGTCCGTGGCTTGGCTAGACTCCTGGTTCCTCCTGGGAATCTGTGCTCAGCCAGGCAGGTCTTCTGCAGTCTCGGGTACCACCAGCTCTGTCTTCACAATCCCCAGTTCTTAATCCAAAACCCATGGCACCTCCTGTGGCCCACCAGGGAGAGTCCTTTCGCCCCTTTCCTTACCACACAGTCTCCCATTGTCTTCTCGAATTGTCCTGCATTGTCTCTCCTCTCACCTGGCACCCTTTAGTTTAAATCCCAACCTGGAACATCCCCCATAACCCCACTTCTGACTTCTCCCACAATTGGCTACACCTGCTGGCATCCTGTATTTCCTGCCTTTCTTGGCTGCCAGAGCTAGTCAGGGCAGGTGTGGCCCCATGGTGTGGAGCGAACCACTCCAAACTCTCATTGGGTGCTCTAACCAGGGAGCTGCCTCCCAGCTATATCATGGGTCAAGGTCATGACCATCTCCCTAGCTAGCCTGCTGTTGATACGTAAAATTACTTTCAATGGCCCTGTTTTCCAGTCCCCCGCCTCCCAACCAGGCCTATGGAGGATATCCTATATTCCCACACACCTCAAGTTCTGGACCCCATTACAAATCCCCCCTATGGGGGGGCCCTGGGGCCTCCCAGCCTATACCCTTCCTGTTACAGGAGGAAGTGGAGTTTCCTTACATCAGGATCTTTGAGTTTTGATGGTGGGGAAGCTGAGAGATGAGCCAAGAGTGCCCCCTAGAGGCCACTAAAATTAGTATTGCTATTATTCAGCCTCACCAGAATTCATGAGTATTTAGGGAGATACTGGTAAAGGGCTATAAGCAAGGGTTCACAGCCAGTCAAAATAAAACTCTGCAGTTTAAAATCACCCAACTCCCAAACAGGTAAAGATAAAGGCCATGTCAACAGTTTAGCTTGGCCTAATTTTCTAAGGACTGTGCAGTACAGTCATTGGGACATAAAATGCACCATGATGTATAGATAACACACTCCGCCTTTTCCTGTGGATGGAGATAAAACACTCGGCCCACACCTGTGGATAGTCACTGGAGGTCTTTATGGGGGAGGTGCAGGAACAGAAGCTGCCCTCAGGGAAGAAGAGTGGTTGAGGAGGCATGAACTTACCTCCAGGAGAAAAGAGGGCAGTTCTCAGGTTTGGTGTGGACTAGGTACAGGAAGAAGCAATTCAAGAGTAGAACCTGCAGCAAAGGTTCAGCCTAGGCCTGGGCTTCCTACATCAGTACAAGAGTGAAAAACAAAACAAGTCTCAAGCTCTCCACAGGCACTGGAAAAGGCCCTTTCAGAGCAAATCCTGGAGTGGTTGTTGGGGGTGGGGGGCTGGTAGCATGTGGGGGCGGAGCAGCCTCCTAGCCACAGGAGTGACAGCACAAGGTGATGACTTTGTGGCGTTTGCCAGGTGCTCAGCAGGAACCACTGCAGGCACAGCGGGGAAACCATCCTGAGCTCTGGGGGGCAGAACAGATTCTGGGAGAGATCTGAGGCCAGTGCTTAGATTCTGAAAGAAGCAACCAGCGGAGGAAAACCGCACTGTGAGAACTCTCAGCACCCCTCCCCCATGCTGTGCTTTGACTTGGCACCTTGCGTGCCTGGGGCAGTACTGGTACAAGGTGAAAGCAAGTCTGTGTATCTCCTGTTTAAATGATCTTCCCCAGGCCCCCTGTGATAGCATTCCCAAGGCATGCTCTGGCTGGGGTAGAACCATGGCTTCCCAGACCCTGAACCTAGAAACTCTGGGAAGGTGACTGGATGACACAGCACAGGTGTAGAGAATCACACTCATCATTCCTAAGAGGACTCCAACCTGTCAGTTCCCTTGCAGACCCAGGTTTCCAGTTATCACTTTGTCTGTATTCTGAGTAATGACTTCCCATAATACATGTATAGTCACCGCATCTGAGAGCTAAAAGGAGGTATAGACATATTTATGCTCTTAATTTACAGGTAAACTGACATGAAGTAGTTAATTCCCCTGCCTTCTTCACATCTTCCTTCCGATTTAGGGTGGGAGCTCAGGTGGCGCCATTTCAAAGTGTTGGAGCTGTGCTTGGTGGCAGGGGCCTTCTCTTTGATGGATCCTCTCAGGAAGCCAGCTGAGGAGGCAACTGGCCCCTGCTGCCCTGCTGGAGCTTCACTGAACTTCAAAGAAGGCTTCTGAGCACCTTTCCTGGCTCAACATTAGACCTTAGTTGTAATTCCAGGTCACAACACTAAGAGCTTTATGTGCATTATTATATATATTAACCCCTGCTTTTCAGAAGTGGTTTTCCAGATCATAAACACTGGTTCTATGTGAGATGATAAATGGTTTGAAGCTCCAATCCTGCAAACAAGATGGTGAGTGGAGGAAAATTCACCAATGGCTGCCTTTCTTCGCAGCCTACAATGTCAGCTTCTGGGGCAGTTCGATGAGACTAAAGGGAGGCACCAGACACCGATGCCTGTGTCTGCTGAGAGTCTTTGGGTGTGCCCAGGGAGAACCCTAACTCGACAGTCTCTCCGCAAAGCCCATGATAGGGCTCTTGCCACACCAAGCTGTGTGTTCTAAAAAAGGCCACATTTCACTCTCACAGCCCATTTCCCTTGACTGATCCTTTCACTTATCTTTTAACATTGATTTGAGGGGGGCGAGGAATTTGTTGTTCCCCTTATTGATGCATTCATTGGTTGACTCTTGTATTTGCCCTGCCTGGAGATGGAACCCACAACCTTGGTGTGTATCACGACGATGCTCTAACCAACTGAGCTACCTGGCCAGGGCTTGACCGAACTTTTAGACGGGCTCCTAGCATGCTTCAGGGGAGACACTGCACAGTCCCCTGCACATCTCTAGAAGGGAAAGAAGTGACCCTCTGTGATTGCTTTATGATGAGTCAATAAGAAGTTATTTATTTTCTAAAAGTATAAAAACAGACAAAAAGGGAGTAACTCTTGGCTGAAATTAAGAGATAATATCGTTATAACAAACATCCCTGTGGACAAGGCCACTGTAGAGAGAGTACTGCTCCCAACCATTAATAATCACCACTCTGCCGCAGACTAAAAGGTCACTAAGTTACACATGGACAAGGAGTTCGTTTTATTAAACCAGACTCATAAAAAGTAAGGAATGTGCTTTGAGTTGATAAAATAAAATTCCAAGGCTCTGAAGAAAATAACTTTATGTCAGTCCCAGGGAACTTTTCTTCCCAAGAGTTGGTTGGTCACTTTCTGTGGAAGAAAACACAGGCAGGAAAGAAGTTAACGACTCCTGTGGTCAGAGGCAGACGGACACTCCTCACCTCAGACATGTCGCTGAGCCAGCTGGTTCTACCCAAACCTTGTTTATCCTCCCCAACTACAGAAACTATGGTGATTATCGAAAAAATAGTTTCTAAAGTATTTAGAAAACATGGTCTATAATCAATATCTATTATTGCTCTATAGATACAGACACTCTATAATCCCGATAGACTGATGCATCCATCAGTTCACAAACACACAAGCACTAAGCGACGCCGACACAGTGCCTGGGGTCTGCCCACTTGAGGGGCCCGGCCCGAGCTTTGGGGTGTGCCTCAGAAGCAGTTCCCCAATCCCACGTAGGTCTGGGAAGAAACCAGGACAGTGAAGGCTATGGCCCTCCAGGCACAGAAGCCCATTTTGTTTCTCAAGGAATAACTGCTAGCAAGTCCCCTGGCCCGTGCAGTTCCAGGATCCGCAGCACTACTGAGTGTGCTGGGCGTGCGCAGGAAGTGGTGTGGCCTCGAGGCTCTGGCTCCCCAAGCCACCAACACTTAAGCTGCACTGGGACTTTTTCCAGTTTATGGTAAAAGTTCTAGACGATAAAACTACCATCTGGGACTTTGGAATAAAAACCCAACAATTCGCACTGGCTGATGTGGCTCAGTGGACTGTGAACCAAAGCATTGCTGGTTCAATTCCCAGGCACAGGCCTGGGTTGCAGGCCAGGTCCCTGGTCAGGGGGTGCGTGACAGGCAACCACACACAGATCTTTCTCTCCCTCTCTTCCTCCCTCCCTTCCCTTCTCTCTAAAAACCCACCATTTCTTCCATGACATATCTAAATTGACTCCCAAAGATGAAATCTGGTTTCTTTCCAAATGTATGCCTGGAAGGTTTCTTTTCTAGATTTTCATTTTCATTTTTAGATTTGAAATCTAGTCATAGGTGCTTTTATCTTCTAAATATCAGCAGTGGTATAGGATGCATTACGAACTTAAGCTCACTCCCCAAATGCAGTCAATTCAAACAGGTTAGATGTGTTTCTCTCAATTTCTTTTCCTTCTGATAAACCCTACCAATCCCGCTCTAGGACTGACTGACCTTTTTATACAGCTGGGCTCGCAAACGATATGACTTATGTTCCAGTCTCCTCTTCTCCTCTTCTCTCTTTTTCTGTACCTCTGGGAGCTGCTCATACATCCTTGGAAATGGCACCAGTGGAGAGACAGAAAGCAGCAAGGTTACCTGACTGCAGAGGCACATGGTGTCTTCTCACCTAAGCTCTGCTGCTCTCAAGGCATTTGGTCCCTCAGGCCCTGGGCCCGTTGTGTGCCCAGCATCCTGTGAGACACTTGGACACAAAGAACCCTGGCCTGGGGTGCTTATGATCTGGAAGGGAAGTCAAATAAACAAAACCACAATAAAATCCTGCTAACAGTAGTTACTTCTGGGAAAGGAGTAGGATCAAGGGGTGGAAATAAACTGCTTTTCACTCTATCTGCAAAAAATGTATATCTTTAATATGAGATAATGAACATGTATTACTATTATATTTTTAAACAGGGAAATAATCGGGGAAAAGTTCAATAACAGTCATATCTCCAAAATGCTACGCAATATTGCAGGAAATGAAAAAACTTATTCTGAGTGAAGTAGGTTGGGGAAGACCAGAGAGGGGATTAAGTTTGAGGTGGGTCTTGAAAAACAGGAGCAGAAAGGGAATGGGAGGAGAAGGGAGTACTGGTAAGTCAAAGCTTCACAGGGGGGGGTGTAGGGGTGCAGGTGGGAAGCGGATGGGGTGAAGGTGAGGGAGGCGGTGAAGGGTCTCATAGCAATGTGAAAACTTGGGCTCTGTCCTGTTAGGAACTGGTGTCACCTTTTTTAAATAGGGAGGAACATGATTGGACACGCATTTGGTAAATAAACTCTAATTGGAAATAATCTAAATTTCTAACAAAAATAGCTAAACAGATTTGGAATATAATAAAATTATTACAAAGCATAAAAAGATGTTTCAGAGAATTTTTAGTGTTATGGGAAAATATATAAACCTGTATATATTAATTAGTGTGATCAGTAATTTTGAAAAAAGGTGTATGTTAATAGCAAGTCTCTGCAAAACCCTATCCCTGCCAGACACGGGAACAGTGTGAGTTATGATTAATGAAAGGATTATGAGTGAGTGATATGCATTTTCTTATTTCAACTTTTCTCTTTATTTTCCAACATTTTCTATATCTGAAAAAAAAATCATTGACAATGAAGGAGAGGCTGTGTGGAAAACAGATGAAAGCAGGCAGACAGCAGAGGTGTGGAGAAGAGCAGTCTTCTGTGAGTCGAGACCAGCCCGCATCGGGAGTGAGAAGAGGGTTCCAGAGCAACCCAGAAGCCCAGTCTCTAGGATGTGCAAGCTGCGTGCATGTGCAGTGAGGGGTAAAGTGACTGCTCCCCAGCTCTCTGGCTATGTGAGTGGGTGTTCCAAGCAAATATGGGAGAGAATGGAGAGTTCCATTTTGGACATAGTGAAGGTGATCACAAACTGAAAAAGCAAAAGTGGAGACCAAAGAGGAATAAGTATACACTAGTAAAAGTCACTGTTCATGGAGAAGGATCCAAGATGGTGGAGTAGTAGGTGGAAGCTACACTAACTTCCAATTCCCAGAACAAATCTGGAGAGAAGCCTTATAACCACAGACAGACAGAGGAAACCATTTCACCACAATGAGACTGGTAGGGAGTGTGGAAGAGGCACCAGAGGGCTGGGTGGGCTCCCACAGGCAGCAGCTGAAGTTCCAGAGTGGTACTTCAGCGGCTGAGGGGGCTTCTCCAAGCTGGGCTCCCCAGCCCCTAGCAACAGAACCAGAAAGGAACCCAGAAAACATACAGCTGTGAAAAGCAGCAGGGTTTCTCTCTGCCAGAATGAGACTGCTGGAGATGCAGACAGTCTCTTAAAAGGCCCACACACAAAACTGTTTGCAGCCATTTACCCTGGGCCTATCAGAGGGAGGGCAAAGTGTTCTAGAGAACCTGAGGGAATTCTGGGGTTGGTGGCTCTGGGGAGAGAACTGAAGGAACAGCTGTGAGGATGCCTGTGCTGAGTTAATCCTCATACTGCAGAGACCATCTTTCGCAGGTAGAGCACTCCTCCCTAAGTGGCATCAGCCTGAGGGGAAGCAACAGCCCTGCCCACAGGAATTACTCTGCCCCACCCTGTGGAGCTTAAGCCAGACTGCTGATTACAATTTGAGACTATATCACTGATGGTTTAACAACTAAGGTGGGAAATACAAAGCAGCCAATCAAAAGGGAAGACAAAGAAAGAGACCCCAAATGAAAGAACAAGGTAATTTTCCAGAAGAAGTACTGGATGAAGTAGAGGCAAGCAGTTTACCAGATAGTTCGGAGTAATGATTATAAGGATAATCAACAGTATAAAAAAAGACACAAAAACAATAAAAAAGGGCCAGTCAGAAATAAAGAATGAAATATCTGAAATAAATAATACACTGAAAGGAATAAACAGTAGGTTAGATGAGAAGAGGATCAAATTAGTGATTTGGAAGATAAGGTTAAAAAAAAACACCCCAAACACCCAGGCAGAGTAGCAAAAAGAAAAAAGAATTAAAAAAAAAATGAGGAGAGCTTAAGAAACATTTTGGACAACGGGAGGTGTAACAACCTGCATCCTCTGGATTACTAGAAGGAGAAGAGTGCGAGCAAGGGATTGAGAACCTGTTTAAAGAAATAATGACTGAAAACTTACCTAATCTGGTGAAGAAAAAGATATACAAATACAGGAAGCTAAGAGAATCTCAAACAAGTTGGACCCAAAGAGGCCTACACTGACACATCATCAATAAAATGACATGGCTTAAAGACAAGGAGAGAATCCTAAAAGCTGCAAGAGAAAAGCAGGTAGTTACCTACAAGGGAGCACCAATGAGACTGCCATCTGATTTCTCAACAGAAATATTTCAGGCCAGATGGGAGTGACATGAAATATTCAAGGTGATGAAAAGCAATGACCTACAACCAAGGCTACAAAAAAAGCTGGGGCAAAAATTCTGGCCAAGATGGAGCCATAGGTAGACACACTATGCCTCCTCATACAACCAAACTAAGGACAACAAAAATTTAGAAACAAAAAACCAACCAGTACTGACAGAAAACTGAACTATACGGAAGTCCAACAACCAAGAAGTTAAAATAGACACATTCATCCAGACCAGTAAGAGGGGTAGAGTCGGGTGGTGGGGCAGAAAGGGGTCACAGCAAAAAAGTGGCGGCTGGCAGACTCCAGGCATGGGGTGGCAGCAGGCTAACACGGAGGTGATGGATTGTAGAGGGGCATGGTGCGCAAGGTGGCTGGAGGACCAGGCAGTCCCACATTCGTGCACAGATAAACCAGGCGAAACTGGGGAGCCAGACAGACCTTGCAACCCAGGGTTCTAGTGGGGAAATAAAGCCTCAAAACACTGATTGAAAACACCTGTGGGAGAGACTCTAAACCTCACAGGAGAGTTTATTGGAGAGACCCACAGGGTTCTAGAATGTACACAAGCCCACCCACACGAGAACCAGCACCAGTAGGGCCCAGTTTGCTTGGGGGAAACAGCGAAAGGGACCAAAATCCAGCAGGGCACAGAGCAAGTGCCACTGTTCCCTCTAGGACCCCTCCCCTACCAACAGCATCACAACAGAGTGACTCAGGTTGCCCTGCCCTGCTGAATACCTAAGGCTCCACCCCTCATATGTAACAGGAGCGTCAAGACAAAAATATGGCCCAAATGGAAGAACAGATCAAATACAACTAAATGACAGAGATAGCCAACCTATCAGATGCACAGTTCAAAACACTAGTGATCAGGATGCTCACAGAATTGGTTAAATTTGGTCGCAAATTAGATGAAAAAATGAAGGCTATGCTAAGTGAAATGAAGGAAAATGCACAGGGAACCAATAGTGATGGGAAGAAAACGAAGACTCAAATCAATGGAGTAGATAAGAAGGAAGAAAGAAACAACCAAGCAGAAAAGAATGAAGAAACAAAAATTCAAAAAAATGAGGAGAGGCTTAGAAACCTCCAGGACATCTTTAAAGGTTCCAACATCTGAATTACAGGGGTACCAGAAGGGGAAGAAAAAGAGCAACAAGTGGAAAACTTATTTGAACAAATAATAAAGGAGAACTTCCCCAATCTGGCACAGAAAATAGACTACATTACATTAGATTAAAACGGAGAGAATTCTAGAAGCAGCAAGAAATAAGGGGATGGTTATCTACAAAGGAGTTCCCATCAGACTGTCAGCTGATTTCTCAAAAGAGACCTTACAGGAAAGAAGGTGCTGGAAAGAAGTATTCCAACTCATGACCTACATCCAAGATTGCTCTATCCAGCAAAGCTTTCATTTAGAATGGAAGGGCAGATTCAAGGAGTTGATCATCACCAAGCCCTTATTATATGAAATGTTAAAGGGACTTATCTAAGAAAAAGAAGATAAAAAACACATATACTAAAATGACAGCAAACAATTATTAACAACCACACCTAAAACAAAAATAAACAGAACAAACAACTAGAACAGGAACAGAACCACAGAAATGGAGATTACATGGAGGGTTAGCAACAGAAGAGTGGGAAGAGGAGAGGGGGGGAAGGTACAAAGAATAAGTAGCATAGATGATAGGTAGGAAGGGTAAGAATAGTGTGGGAAATGTAGAAACTAAAGAACTTATGAAACTTCCGCCAAGATGGAGGCATAGGTGGATGTGCCGTGCCTTCTCACACAACCAAGTTTAGAAACAACTAAATATTAGCAACAGAAAACACAGCCAGAACACGGAAAATTGAACTTTTCGGAAGTCCGTTAACAACAAATTCTTCAGCCTTACCGGTAAGGGGCGAAACCAGCGGCTGGTGAAACGGGGTTGCACAGGAAAACTCGGTCGGACAGACTCAAGCGCGTGGAATCCATACGCGCGGAATTCAGGCGCAGGGTTGGACCTAGTGAGCGACCAGGCGAGCGACCTCGGGGGAGATAGCGAGGAGCGGTGCTGCGTGTTGACTGTGGTCGAGCATTTGTGCGTGGGCAGACAGGAGAGGGAGTGGCCGTTGGACCGGGGCCGGGCGGGTCCCCGCGGCAAGTGGCAGTGGAGGGCGCCGCCATTTCCCTGCTCTGACCTCACCTCCACATACAGCGTCATAACCCAGCAACTCTGAGTGGCCCGGCCCAGGTGAACCACCTAAGGCGCTAATCCTCACCCAGCTCTGAGAAACAGCAGAGGGGGTCGCCATTTCCCGCTCTGACCACGCCCCCACATACAGCGTCACAACCCAGCGACCTGGGAGTCCAAGGCACCGCTTCTCACACTTAAAGGGCCAGAACAGACCAAAAATGTCACAAGAATATCTCAAAGCCCCAGAGCCCATAGATCTAAGCGATGAAGAAATAGCAAAACTCTCAGACGCACAGTTTAAAACACTGGTCAGCAGGATCCTCACAGAACTGGTTGATTATACCGACAAATTAGACAAATATATGAAGGCGAAACTAATTGAAATGAATGGAATTGCACAGGACACCAATAGCAATGAAAAGGAAACTGGGACTCAAATCAATGGAGTGGACCAGAGGAAAGCAAATAATGGCCAAACAGAAAAGAGTCAAGAAGCAAGAATTCAAAGAAATGAGGAGAGTCTTAGAAACCTCCAGGACATCTTTAAACGCTCCAACATCCGAATTATAGGGGTACCAGAAGGGGGGAAAGGCACAGCCACCAGTGGAAAACTTATTTGAACAAATAATAAAGGAGAATTTCCCCAATCTGGCAAAGGGAAATAGACTTCCAGGAAATCCAGGAAGCTCAGAGAATACCAAAGAAGTTGGACCCAAGAAGGAACACACCAAGGCACATCATAATTACATTAGCCAAAATTAAAATGAAGGAGAGAATCCTAGAAGCAGCAAGAGCTAAGGGGACAGTCACCTACAAAGGAGTCCCCATCAGACTGTCAGCGGATTTCTCAAAAGAGACCTTACAGGCAAGAAGGGGCTGGAAAGAGGTATTCCAAGTCATGAAATCCAAAGACCTACAACCAAGATTACTCTATCCAGCAAAGCTTTCATTTAGAATGGAAGGACAGATAAGGTGCTTCTCAGATAAGATCAAATTCAAGGAGTTCATCATCACCAAGCCCTTATTATATGAAATGTTAAAGGGACTTATCTAAGAAAAAGAAGTTAAAGAAACATGAACAGTGAAAGGACAACAAACTCACAGTTATTAACAACCACACCTAAAACAAAAGCAAACTAAAAGGACAGCTAGATCAGGAGCAGAACCATAGAAATGAAGATCTCAAGGAAGGTTAGCAACAGGGGAGTGGGAGGAGGAGAAGGGGGGAGAAGGTACAGAAAATAAGTAGCATAGACAGTAGATAGAAAATAGATGGGGGGGGCAAGAATAGCATGGGAAATATAGAATCTAAAGGACTTGAGACACATGGTCATAAACTAAAGGGGGGGTAATGGTGGGGATGGGGGGGTAGGGTGGAGGGGAATGAAAGGGGGAATAGAACAACTGTAACAGCATAATCAATAAAAAAATTAAAAAAAAAGAACTTATGACACATGGACATGAACTAAAGGTGGGGAATGTGGGTGGGAGAGGGTGTGCAGGGTTAAGGGGAGTGAAGGGGGGAAATGGGAGAACTGTAATAGCATAATCAATAAAATATATTTTTTAAAAAGTAAAAAAAAAAAAAAAAAGCTGGGGCACCAGTACTTATATCCTAAAAATAGACTTTAAAACCAAGGCTAGTAAGAGACAAAGAAGGACACTGCATACTGATAAAGGGAACATCCAACATGAGGCCTTAACCCTGTAAACATTTATGCATCCAACATGGGAGAACCTACATATATAAAGCAAATCTTGATAGACATAAAGAAAAGAGATAAAAAGAAATATAGTCACTATCGGGGATTTAACACCCCACTGACTTCAATGGATAGATCTTCTAGGCAGAAAATCAACAAGGAAACAGTGGTCTTAAATGACACAGTAGATGAAGTGGATTTAATTGGCATCTTTAGAGCATTTCACACCTAAGAAGCAGAATATACATACTTTTCAGGGGTACATGGAACATTTTCTAAGATAGTCCACATGTTAGGACACAAGACTCAATAAATTTAAGAAGACTAAAATCTCATCAAGCACCTTCTCTGACCATAATGCTATGAAACTAGAAATTAATCATAAGAATACTGAAAAACACACAAAGACATGGAAAGTAAATAACACTATTAAACCATGACTCAACAATGAGATCAAGGGAGAAATCAAAATGCCTTTGATTAAATCAAAGGTATTTCAGAGGGACACAACAATGAAAATGAGGACACAACAATCCCAAACCTATGGGACATTGGGAACCCTTTTGCACTATTGGTGGGAATGCAGACTGGTGCAGCTACCGGGGAAAACAGTATGTGGTACCTCAGAAAATTAAAAATGGATCTGCCTTTTGACCCAGTGATCTCACTTCTGGGAATATATCCAAAAGAACCCAAAATGTTAATTCAAAAGAACATAAGCACCCTTATGTTCACTGCAGCACTATTTACAATTGCCAAGATATGGAAGCAGCCCAAGTGTCCCTCAGTAGATGAGTGGATAAAACTATGAGACATTTACACAATGGAATACTACTTGGCCATAAAAAAGAAGAAAATTTTACCCTTTGCAACAGTATGGATTGACCTGGAGAACACTATGCTAAGTGAAATGAGCCAGTCAGAGAAAAGACAAATACCGTATGATTTCACTCATATGTGGAATCTAATGAACAAATTGAAGTAAGAAGGAAAATGGGGACAGACTCACAGATGGAGAGCAGGGTAACAGCTGGGTGGTGGAGGGTGAGGTGAGGGGATGGAGGGACTGAGCAAAAAGGACAGGACTCACGGACATGGACTACAGTGTGGTGACTGCTGGAGGGAGGGGGTATGAGGGGACTAAATGGTAGTGGGAAAATACAACAAAGTTAAATTAAAAAGTAAATAAGTTAAAAAATCTTTTAAAAAATAATGAAAATATAAGTCACTGTCCATGAAAAACATAATGAGATATCACCTCAAACCTGTTAGAAAGGCTATTAAAAAAGAGGGAGAGAAAACAAATGCTGGAGAGGATGCAGAGAAAAGGGAACCCTTGTGCACAGCCAGTGGGAATGCAAACTGGTAAAGTACTGTGGAAAAGTTTTTTGCCTCAAAAAAATAAACACAGAACCACCACATGATCCAGCAATCCCATTTCTGGATATTGATTAAAAAAAAAGATGAAATTATAATCTCAATGAAGTATCTGCACCTCCATATTCATTGTAGCAAGTCATTCATATCATGTCTGCCACCTATTTTTCTTTTCTTTTTTAGTGGGAAAGTACTTTCACAACTAATTTTCTTATGTTTTGACTGGAGCAGAATGCCTTTATTCTGGGGGCAAGCCAGAGTTCTTGAGAACTTGCTGGCCTGATCTGTACTCTTCTAATTACTCTTATTTGGGTGGCCTTACCGTTTAGACCTCTGAATCATTTCCTTCTTTCCAATAGGCCTGCCCTTCTGGGCAGCCAGGAAACCTAAGCAAGAGAAGAAAGGGTTTTCAGTGAATAATGACTTAATAAGGAAGGGTATGGTATGCAAGAGCTGTGTGAGAGAGCTGCTAGGACTTTGTGGCCCTACTGTGAGCTGAGAGTGCTAAGTGGTCACCAATGGCCAAGGCCAAGGTTAGACTATGACTGTGACAGCACCTAAGTCTCCTGAAGACACAACACTGTGGTACAGACTAGATTATGAACTTAAATGCTGCCCAATTTATAGGTAATGTGATGAAAGCATTAGGTATGCTTTCATATACTATTTTATGTATTTTTACAGCTTTCATGTATTATTTTATTGATCTTAGCATAACTGTAAATAGCACAGATCCTGGAGCCAACCTGCCTGGGTTCAAATCCAAGATTAGGTGTGTGATGCAAACACTGGCCCACAGTGTCTGTGGTGTTATGGATGAGACATGAGACAAATTCACACGGACTACCGAGTCCTGTGGAGGAAAAGGGACGGCACAGCTACTCCCTCAAGTGGGGAGCACCTTGGGGCGGCCTGGCTACTCTCTCAAGGGGAAAGCACCCCAACCCTTGCCTTGACAGATTTTTATTGGGTTCAATTAATACAGGAGTATAGGTAAAGTTCATTAATATTTGTCAGGCAGTAAGGATCAAACAATAGATAGCATACAAAGAACTATGAGGGCTTATTCTGAGTCAGCGTCTATTAGCTAAAGGGCTACAAAACTTTGGGAAACAAACTCATTTCCTGCTCAGACCCTTATCATTTAATTGAGAGCATTCTTAGCAAGGCACGTTTCACAGGATTTTACATATTCTTTCTCAGGCCTGATCACCCAGGGAGCCGGCCCTTTCCAGCACAGGGCTGCACCACCCTCTGTCATTGTTTCAGGGTTAAGTCAGGCAGCCAGGAGACTAAGAGACTTCTCGCAGATAGAATGGGGACTCAGGCTATGTCAAAGTCAAGGGGTGAGGGTCCATCACCTGCTTTTGCTGTAGACTCCCAAGTCCGTCCCTGGGGCCTCCACATGATCATGCCTGTCTTAGGTCGTTTCCCACTTGGGGAATCTTATCCGTCACTGGCTAACTCATCAAGCATTGGGGGCCAGTTATGAAGTAAAAGGAGCAGAAGCAGCAGCTCCTGCCAGGGAGATGAGCTTTGTCTACTTAGTGGCTTATGGTCCAAAGGTCGCTCACTCAGCCTTAGCCATGGGAGAGTTACAGCTCTTGAAACCAGGTAGGGCGGATTTCAACAGGTGTGTAATTTTGGGCATGGTACTTAATCTCTCTCTGCCTTAGTTTTCTCACCTCTAAAAGAGGGGGATATTAATAGTATCTGACTCAAGAGGTGTAAGCATTAAATGTGAAAAATTCTGGGTAAAACATTTCTGGGTAAAAAACATAACGGTTAATAACTATTATTATTATTACTACCACTATTACTACTATTATTATCATTGCCACCCCATAAAGTAGCCAAGCCTAGAATCTGCTCCATCTTTTAATAAAAAAAAAAACCCCATTATACTAGTTTTGGAACTAAACTCTGCTCACAGACACAGAGTTTCTTTATAAAAACACTATTCTCACTGCACGCTTGTTTTTAAGATCCAGTGACAGGGCACGAGTAACTGGGCTTATCTGGATCATGCAAGTACTGACAGCTAAACGGGGCAGGGTCTGCTACTTAAGGATATGTGAGTCTCAGCAAGCACAGAGTCACTTTCTGTCCATGTAACTGGCCTGGCACTGAGCAGTGCTCTCTAGCAAGAAGCAGATCTTGCCTTCCTAGCAAGTAACAGAAAAATGAACAGAGTGTACCTCTCTTAGGGAGCGGGCGCATGGGGTCCCGGTGGCCCTGCCATTCTCTCACAGTGTTGAACAGTGCCTCCCGCTCACTCTGAAACATGTTCTGCAGCTTTCTCTCCTGGACTATTAACTTCAGGCGTTTTATTCGCTCCCCAGAGCGGGAGATGAAGTCAGGTCTGTGAAGCTGAAGTGATTCCTGAGGAGGAGAAAATGCCCCCGTCCACACATTAGTGATGCAGTCTGTTCTCCAAGGGCCCTGACCAACAGATTGGAAGAGCCTGTTTCTAAAGAAAATACTTATTTTCTCTAGAAAAAAAAATTTTCTATTCTCTAGAAATTATCTCCAGTTGAAAAATAACCTAACAATTCTGTGAGGGAGAACTCCAATAGGGAAATCAGAAGGATCAAAGAAATGCCTTTGGAATAAGCCAAGAACCAAGACTGTGGCAATTACAACTCTTCCAGATGGGATAGAACTTGGCCCATTGTGCTATCTTAAATTTCCCTTCAAACAAATACAGGGTGGGGCAAAAATAGGTTTAAAGTTGTTCATAGGAAAAAATAATACAATTAACAAATAATAACAAGAATAAACTTACATGTACTCACAACTGTAAACTTACTTTTGTCCCACCCTGGGGTGGGGCAAAATAGCATTTCCTTTAGCTCCCAAGGGTCCTATAAAGAGGAGACTTGGCACCTGTTAAACTCTGTGTTACACAGGAACAGGAGTTACTGAGGAACAAATACAAGGCTGATGCAAGCACGAGGCCTCCAGAGCACTGCAGGTGTCTACAAGCCCCAGAAGCAGTGTTGCAACACCTTCCTATTACCTTTTCCCAAGATACTGAGGGTGAGACATGTTAAAATGGTTAATGGAGTAAGGCAGCCTTTGATTAACGACAGGAGTGAGAAGGTATAGACTACGGAGGTGCTAGAAACTAGGGTCACATGACTGTACTTCTGAAGGCCAAGTCGCAGATTTAACTTCTTTGTGTCTCACCCTTTCTCCCCACTTAAACAGGGCTAAAATTAACGCAATGTCATTGTACCTGTAAAGTTGCTTTCACAAATGGCTTCAGAGGACTTCTGCCTGGGCCTGCTACTGACCCGTGGCTGTCTGTGTGCTGACGCTGCCAGTTCTGTTCCCGCAGCGGTTCCCTCCAGGGTTTCACGTTGGTTACTGGTGCAAACCAGGAGATACCAGGGCCATGATGCTTGAGCAGGTTTTCCTTCTTAGGACCAGACTTCACATTTTCCACAGGAACAAACCATGAAACTCCTATAGGAAATAATTTTAAGAAAAAAAGACTTCTTTTTCCCCATCACTGACGTGTATAACACAGGGCTTCTGCAGAGCCAGCTGTTGGAGGCCATCACGATGCCCAGGTGCCTGCTTAATTGCAGGTGTGACTCTGTAACTGTAGTGCTAGGTACTTAAAGTTTGTTTTTCTGGCATGGTGGTGCTGGGGGTGGAGATGGGGTCAAAACAGAATAATTTAGAAAAAAGAATCCGAGCATTGTAAGGGACTGAAAATTCAGTAGTTTTTCTGCAAAACTGGGAATTAGAAACTGACCTTCAGAGCAACTCTGCTTGTTCTTCCTCAACTTTTTGTCCCCAAGATAACTGGTAACGAGCCTTTTTTCTTCTATTTTTTCTTCTGACCAAGTAGTCACATCACTGTCCTCTTCCACTCTAACCTCGCTAGAACTTGGCGTTGGGAAAATCACCCCAACATCTCGAGTGTGTTTTCTGACACCATTCACAATCTCCAAGTTACCTGAGGGGAAAGATCACAAATGTCTCTGGAGCAGGACTGAGACTTAGTTGGCAGGTATATTCAAAGTTTTTAAGGCTTGAAAAACCCAGTCTATTGTCTTTGCTGGGGGGGTTGGGGCTGTGTGAGAGAGAGAAGGTGGAGGGGGTGGAAAGAAGGGGTGGAGAGAGAGGAAGAGGAGGAGAGAGGAGAGGGAGGAGGGAGGGAAAAAAGAAAGAGGGTTTGTAGTTCTAAGTCCGTTTAGATATTAGAGAGAATTAATTACTAATATACACTCAACGGGAAAACGATTTGTTTTGATCCCAAGTGAGAAAGACAGTAAATGCTTGTCTACCGGCAGTCCCCCGGGTAGGAAAGAGGGTGACAGATATGAAGACAAGACTTGGGGTGGGCGGGGAATCAAGGCAGTTTATTTTTGTTTTATAAAATCAAGAGATATAGGAAGGCATAAAATGAAAAGGTTCCTTTCTACTCCTGTTCTACATTCAATCAGTTTATAACCTCATGACTCCAGAGAGTTTTTTTTGTGTGCAGTCAAGCAATTCTCTTCCTTTCATTTTTTAAATGCACGTAGTAGCATGCTACACACTGTTCTGTACCTTGCTTTTTCTTTTTAATTATATCTTGGAGATCTTTCCATGTTGGTGGAGAGAAAGACCTATGTTGTCCCCTCCAGAATTTCCTTATATAAATGTACATAATTTAACCATTTGGCTATTGATGGACATTGAGTTGAATTTAATTTTCTGTTATAATAAATACTTAGATTAACTTTGTGGCTAATTCTACACATTTGTCATTTTGCACATAGGCAAGTATATCTAGAGTCTCAATTCCGAAAGTAAAAGTGCTGTGTGAAAGTAGTTTTGACAGAAACTGCCGAACTGCCTGTCACAGGCATTGGACTTGTGACTTACACTCTCACTAGAATGTATGAGTGTATTTCCCTACACTCTTGCCCACATACTTGCTATCAAGCTTAGATTTTTGCCAATCTTGTAAGTGAATAGTGGCATCTGAGTACAGTGTTAATTTTCACTTTGTATGAGATTGAGTATCTTATGTTTAACAGCTACTTGTAATTTGATGGAAAGAAATGTTTAAATTCAAGTAATTTACCTGCTTGTACTCCCTTATTTAACATATGTACATTTTGCTTGTTGCAAAGGGTAGAGTTCGAGCTCCAGAAACTACCAGTAGAAGATGAAATAGAGTCAGAAGAAATCATATGGTTTGTCACCTAGAAAAAACGAGAGACGGTTATCATTACATGTAGTCAATGGCACAATTACCCACAGAATAAGAAAATATAAAGTCAACCAGACCACCTAATCAATCCAAATTGTTGAGATAAAGTTGCCAGGAAGCTTGTGACAATGTTGACATGCTGCTGCATAACATATGACAGGGACGAGGAGGTTACTGAAGTTGAATAGGGCCTGAGCTCTTGCCTGAAGGTAAGACACACACACAAAATGGTATATTCCTGGGACTTGAAAAGTTCTGAAGAAGATGTGAGCCAAAAATCAGTCTGGTTGGTTTTCAGAATGAAATTCTGACTTGACACCTGCATATGCTTTGATGAAAGAAGGCTGGGGATAATTAAAGAGACGAAGAGCTGCAGAGTGCTCTTCCCATGAGGTCAGACTCAGATACCTACACGAGGGTAAGTGCCAAAGAGCTGAAAGGCCCCCAGAGAAGTCCTGAATCAGAATTGCGAAAAGCACTAATGAGCCCCCAAATGGCCTTTTTAGTTATATTCAGAGCAAGGTTCAGAAAGTTCATGGATTTAAGTTGATGGTAGAATTTAGTGGGTGACAAAAAAAATTTATCAAAATATAGTTGAACAAATATAGTATAAAATAGTATTTCTTAAACTTGCATATCATAGCAGCCCTCTGGAGGAGGAACCCTGACCCAGAAAAGGGGATTGAAATCCTGCAGGAGGGATGTGGGTTCTGCATTTTGAATAAATGCCAGGTGCTTACTTCCTTATGCAAGTTTGGTAGAGGTAGATATTGAAACCCAAGTCAGAAAGGAAACTGAAGGTATGTGCTCCCCTGAACTAAACAGACCATATTCCAGGGATCCAGGAACCTTAGCAACAGAATCCTGGAGGGGAGGAGCTGTGTTAGATGTCTGGGGATGGGAACTATTTTAATTTTCAAAAAGATAAGCATTATAAGTTGGTGGGTTTAATAGTAATGACTGGAGAGACTTTAAAATGGGTCACTAACCTGGTAATTTGCAGCATCTGCAGGCCAAAGAAAAGATTAGCACATTTCATGTAGGGCTCAGTAAGGCAGGCAGCACGAGCCTTGCCCCTTGCAGTGTGAGCCTTGTTTTCCCTCGCAGACATGGTCACTAACTGGCAGTTGAAAAGAATGTGTAGTGTAGGGTACTTCATTTGAATAAAATGGTAAAACTTCTCATGACATCTTTGAGGGCAAGATGGACTTATTTGGGTTGAATGATAATATGAGTTCTACCAACTTATATTATCATTCAATATCAATAATATTTGAGGGCTGGTTGAAACTCTCAAATATTCTTGTTTACATAGTGAGAAGCCTTTACTGAGTGATACATCTTACATTCAACAACAAATATTCACCAAGCACTTACTGTGTCCTAGTCACTTAGTTTTCTCTGGCTAGTCCTTCTTAACATTTTTATGTATCAATGTCTTAGAGATGTGGAAATAAGACTTTCCTACAAGGCACATCTGGGAGGGCCTAAATGGCTGCCACAACCTGAAATAGTAACAGGAACCAAACAGGCCAATCAAACAAGGGATAATTGTAAAGCCCCAACCATTAGGCAGGAGGAATGGCAGAAACTTGGATGCAGTACACAAAGCTCTGGGGCTGGAGTCCAGACCTAAGACAGCCTCACACCTTCTCTTCACTAGCTGTTTCTGCTCGAATAAGCCATAACCTCCTTCTGCTAGTCTTCCCCATCTATAAAGGGAGCACTTACATTTCTGAAAATACAGAAGTATTAGAACAAATGATCTAGATCAGAAACAGTAAAAAACTCATATAAAACAATGAGATTATTATTGTTACAAAAAACCCAAAGTGTACAAGTACAGAAAGTGTGGTGAGGAAGATGTGACTGACCAGCAATATACTACACCTTCTTTGCAGCTATAAAAGAAAAAGAAAAAACAGCACTTTAGGTACTGAAATAGATGGATTTTTCAGATAGGTTATAAGTACAAAAAAGCAAAGTATGCTGCCATTTTTGTGAGAAAGTGTATAAAACACATGCAGGTATTTGCTTTATAATGTATAAATTACCTGTGGAAAAAACCCCAGATGGGAAAGGGAGAGGTAATGCTGTTTTTTATTTGCAGATGGCATGATCCTATCTGTAGAAAATATGAAGGAATCCATAAGAGGTGCTAAAACTAAAATAAGTTTAGCCAGACTGCAGAATGTAAGATCAATGAAGATAAAAAATCAGCTGTTTCTATATTCTAGCAACGAGCAATCTGAAATAAAATTATAGAAAAAGTTATAGTCATAGACTTCCGGCCAAGATGGAAGCATAGGTAGACACACTGTGCCTCCTCAAACAACCAAAATAAGGACGACAACAATTCAGAAACAAAGTAACAACCAAAACTGAAAGAAAATTAAACTGTATGGAAGTCCGACAACCAAGGAGTTAAAATAGACACATTCATCCAGACTGTGTCACAACCCAGTGACTTGGGTTGCCCTGACCTGGTGAACACCTAAAGCTCTGCCCCTCATACCTAACAGGCGTGACCAGACCAAAACATTATGGCTCAAGAAGAACAGCTCAGAACCCCAGAGCCAATACTTCTAAGCGACCAAGAGACAGTCAACCTATCAGATGCACAGTTCAAAGCACTGGTGATCAGGATGCTCACAGAACTGGTTGATTTTAGTCACAAATTAGAGGAACAAATGAAGGCTAAACTTAGTGAAATGAAGGAAAATGCACAGGAAACCAATAGTGATGGGAAGGAAACTGGGACTCAAATCAATGGAGTGGACCAGAAGGAAGAAAGAAACAACCAAACAGAAAAGAATGAAGAAACAAGAATTCAAAAAAAATGAGGAGAGGCTTAGGAACCTTCAGGACATCTTTAAATGTTCCAACATCTGAATTATAGGGGTACCAGAAGGGGAAGAGAAACAGCAAGAAGTGGAAAACTTATTTAAAAAAAATAATAAAGGAGAACTTCCCCAATCTGGCAAAGGAAATAGACTTCTAGGAAGTCCAGGAAGCTCAGAGAGTCCCAAAGAAGTTGAACTCAAGAAGGAACACACCAAGGCACATCATCATTACATTAGCCAAGATTAAAATGAAGGAGAGAATCCTAGAAGCAGCAAGAAATAAGGGGACAGTCATCTACAAAGGAGTTCCCATCACACTTTCAGCGGATTTCTTGAAAGAGACCTTACAGGCAAGAAGGGGCTGGAAAGATGTATTCCAAGTCATGAAAGGCAAGGACCTACATCCAAGATTCCTCTATCCAGCAAAGCTTTCATTTAGAATGGAAGGGCAGATTAAGTGCTTCCCAGATAAGGCCAAGTTAAAGAAGTTCATCATCACCAAGCCCTTATTATATGAAATGTTAAGGGACTTATCTAAGAAAAAGAAGATAAAAAACATGTATACTAAAGTGACAGCAAACTCACAATTACTAACAGCCACACCTAAAATAAAAATAAACTAAGGAAACAACTAGAACAGGAACAGAACCACAGAAATGGCGATCACATGGAAGGTTAGCAATAGGGGAATGGGAGGAGGAGAGGAGGGAATGGTACAGTGAATAAGCAGCATAGATAGTAAGCAGAAAATAGGCAGGGGGAGGGCAAGAATAGTATGAGAAATGTAAAAGTTAAAGAACTTAAGACACATGGACATGAACTAAAGGGGGGGAATGTGGGAGGGAGAGGGTGTGCAGGGTGGAGGGAAATGAAGGGGGAAATGGGACAACTGTAATAACAATCAATAAAATATATTTAAAAAATTCTGTCATAAATTCATCAAAAATAATAAAATATTTAGGAATAAATTTAACAGAAGTGCAAGCTTTGCACTCTGAAAATTACAAACCACTCATGGAAGAAATTAAAGTTCTAAATAAATAGTGAGATATTCCATATATATAATTTAAGGTTGGGTAAAGCATTGAATAAACATTTCACCTAAGAGATAGGAATGGCCAATAAGCATATGAAAAGATGTTCAACATTATCAGTCATTAGGAAAATGCAAACTGAAATCACAATGAGGTCACTTCACACCTACTATGATAGTTATAATAAAAAAGACAACACACTAGCTGTTGACAAGGAAGCAGAGAAACTGGAATCTTCACACACTGCTGGTGGGAATGTAAAAATGGTACAGCCCTTTGGAAAACACTTCAGCATTTTCTTAAAAAACTTAAACTTAACATATTACCCAGCAATTCCACTTGTAGGTATATACCCCAAGGAAAAGATGTTCACACAAAAATGTTTACATAAATGTTCACAGCATATTATTGTCCAAAAAATTAAACAACCCAATTGTCTAATGACTGGAAACTGGATAAGTCCAATGTGGCACATCCATATAATGGAATACTGATCACCAGTGAAAAGGAACTACTGCCCTTGACCAATGTGGCTCAGCTGGTTGGGTGCTGTCCCGCCAAATGACAGGTTGCTGGTTTGATTCCCCATCACGGCATATGCCTGGGTTGTAGGTTTGGTCCTTGGTCACAGCATGTACAACAAACAGGCAGCTGATCAGTTTCTCTCGCATGTTGATGTTTCTCTTTTTTCTCCCTTCTTTCCCCTCTCTCTAAAAATAACATCTTAAAAAAAGGGCTGATACATACCACATCATGAATGAACCCTGAAAACATGCTAAGCAAAAAAAAAGCCAGATGGAAAAAGACTACATATTATATATAATTGCATTTATATAAAATGTCCTAAAAAGGCAGAGGCAGGTTAGAAATTGTCTGGGGCTGTAATGTGGATTGATTGCACCCCTTTTTGGGGGCTGACAGAAATGTTTTACAACAGAATTGTGGTAATGACTGCACAACTCTGTAAATTTACTAAGAACAATTGAACTGTACACTTGAAATAGATTACTTTTATGTTATGTACATTATGCTACCATAAAGCTGTTTGAAAATCTCTGTAATGATGTGCAAGAATGAGTAACACTGAGTGATTCTGGGAAGAAAAGCTGGTGCCT